GCATATTAGAATTAGAATTGCATATTAGAATTTCATTACAGAAAAATAATCATCATGTAAACACCATCTGACCAATCAGAACTGAGAATTCAACAGTGCTGGTGTATAAAGTGTAATAATGCACATATCTTCAGAAAACAAACTGAAGATGGAAGACATGGCCTAGGTAACAGTTTAGATCTGTTACTGAAATACAAACCCTGTACGGAAAAACCTAAATAAATAAGGTTGTGTTCTGTACTAACGATTAGCAATTCTATATAACACTAAAACTGTGATCCATAAAAACAATCTTACTGCAAATCAATATGATGATAATGATATAAACAACTAACTTATGAATTTTTTGTTAGGATGCACAAAACAATTGTATCTGAAATCATGACCTTGATTCTTTCCTCATGTACGAAACACAGAGTCGCTAGCACATGACCTCATGCACCCACTTGAACAGCGGAGAGTCTACAGAGAAGAAGAAAGAAAAGAGGGGGAAAAAAAAAAAGGGAGAAACAACGTCGGAAAGCTGTGAGTGAAATTCAAAACGGCCATGTGTAGTTAAAAGAAACAAACTTGTCCTAAATACATTTTAGATTTAATGTACTGAATATTAAAGTCTTAATTACTAACCAAAGAGTGACTAAATGTATGAAAAGAAGAAACGGGGTGAGTGAGTCACGGCAGCATGTGCTGTCTCGCTCAAACTTCGCCAGCGACGCATGACACATAGAGTGTGTAGACCAATTTCCACCCAAGAGCACTTATTCTGCTGGCTATTGCAGCAGAAATGAGCCCTCATACACAAACATCTGCTAGCTACCAAATGGAGCTACCACTCTCAGATAAAGTAAGAATTTAATTACTCGAGACATTTTCTCCATTGACTTGGACGTGTCTCGAATATACTGCCATTTATACTCTGATTTGTCTCGGTCTTGGGCATTATTTTGCAGTCATAACTCATAATTTCTAGCCTCCGACTACACCTTCAACTCAGAATTCCTGCTCGAGAACTCAGGACAGCCTCCTCAACCCCCGAGTTCAGCAAGTGACGTCAAATCAACATGGCTGCTCACAGCATCAACAGTACACAAAGCAGCATTTCTTACCTGTAAATGAGTCATACTGTTTATACTAGTTTTTGCTTTAGATCAGTCAACATACAGACACATTTGCTTGTTAAATCTATAACAGTTTTCTGTTTTGAGGAGGTAAATATACATCACTCATCACAGTTAGACGGCTAGATCGTTGCTAATAAAAGACGAACATGGAGGCGTGCATGCTCTTCCCCACACTGTAGCTTGAATGCACAGAGGTTCTGACTTCCCACCAAGTCGAATGCAGCATTAATTTCGCTAAATACATTATATGGCCAAAAGTATGTGGACACCTGACCATCACAGCCATATGTGCTTGATGGATATCCCACTCCAAAACCCTCATCAGTATAGAGATGGTTCCCCCCTCTGCTGTTATAATAAGCTCCACTCTTCTAGGAAGGCTTTCCACTAGATGTTGGAGCGTGGCATTCAGCTACCAGAGCATTAGTGAGGTCAGGCACTGATGTTGGGTGGGTGAGGAGGTCTGGGGTGCAGTCGACGTTCCAGTTCATCCCAAAGTTGCTTAATGGGGTTGAAGTCAGGGCTCTGTGCAGGACACTCGAGTTTTTCTACTCCAACCTCGTCAAATCATGTCCTCATGGAGCTCGCTTTGTGCACAGGAACTTCACTGGATCGAAGACGGAAATTGTAATGCTACGGATGTGAGGATCAGGTGTCTACAAACTTTTAGCCATATAGTATATGTGTATCTTGGTCTCAACTGAGAGTTTGCAAAATAGTATTTGTGTTGTGTTTTCTTTTTGCATGCACAAACTTTTGACAGGAAGTAACAGCCTAATCACTGGCTGAATGCACAAATAACGTCTACTAGTTGAAGCAAAGGCTTGGCCTCGGATAGGATTTGATGGTTTTCGTCTGGACATGATCTTGACTTGGCCTCGACTCTTTTAAGACTCTTGACTCGACCTTGGCTAGTCCTGGTCTTGGACAGGACAATGCCTGGTTTGACTACAGCCCTAACAATGCACATACTGTTCCTTATAAAATAGGTCAAAGAATCATGAGTGAGTGAATCATGAGTAAGCTTAAAAAATAAGTGCTATTTCATCCAGAGTTGTGCAGCCTTATTACTGATTGCGTTTACACTACTACTACATTTATTCACCTTACTGTTAAAAAGTGAAGGGGGGGGGGGGGGGGTTTGAGTGAAGTGACTTGTGGCCAAGTAGGGTGACCCATACTCGGAATTTGTGCTCTGCATTTAACCCATCCAAGTGCACATACACACCATGAGCCTTTTTTGCTGTGGGAGCAGTTGGGGGTTCGGTGCCTTGCTCAAGGGTCTCACCTCAGTCATGGTATTGAGGGTGGAAGAGAGCGCTGGTCATTCACTCCCCCCACCTACGATCCCTGCCGGACCTGAGACTCGAACCCACGGCCTTCGGGTTACAAGACCCACTCTCTAACCATTAGGCCACGACTGCTAAACAATAATAATAATAATAATATTAGATGTCTATAGACTGACAGTTATAAAGCTTATTCTGTTACATTCTGTTATTCTGGGACATTTCCAGTAGAAGTCAATCTTTCTGCATGAGTCCAATGATTGATGAAGACTGGGATGGATTGAGGCCATCATTTATCCAACAATTCCTACATGAATGCCAGCTACACGCTAGTGGATAATAACGCGTACCGTCCACTACATGATTTTGATTTTCCAGACTCTCTGGGGCCATCTGCTAAATAGCCAGGGAGCCTCCCATCCATTACAATCCTCATAATTAATCCTCAAGTGTCCTTTATGCAGTCCTTAGTTGTGTAAAGCTGCTTTAAACCAGGCCTGTTTCAACATTAATGCATTAAAGGCCCAGACGCTAAGCTTTGCTCCAAGTCCAATACACTTCAGCCAGTAAAAGAGCACAGCCGTCTGCACGGGGATTCAGGGAAGGCAATACGTCGAGGTTTTTTTTTTTTACGACACACGATATCCAGCTAGTCCAATGTTTTCATATTAAAATAATTTTTTTAAAAACACCCAACTTTCTCTCTGGTGCCTTTGTGAATAGTTTATCATTATTCCAATAGTTTATTATATATAATCTACTTGTTATTCTGAGTAATGATGGACTGGTCTGAAGTAAACATACTGCCTCTCGCAAAAGTGGATCATGGAGCTGGGAATCGTGTTGTTACAGCAATATTCATTATTTTCCTATAACAGCACAACGTAAAGTGTCTTATTCGTCTTACACGATAGCAAGTCTTACTTGTTATCTGTTTATAGTTACAGTTAACATAACAGTTCCTGTTCCTGTAAAACCTACGCTATAGCACCAGTGTCTCCGTCTTCCTTCTTTATAAAGTTAGGAAGACAAAAAAAAAAAAAATGCAGTTTGTCATGTTACTGAAAAACCCCATTTGCAAAACTGTCTGTTCTGAAGATATTCTTATGTTGGAAAACAAAGCTACAACTTTATCTCTGACTGTTACAAAGTGCTGACACTGGAGACTCCTTCCAAAATCGCTAAATAAACGTCTCTGTATAGAAAACGTCATCATAACAATATCACAAACAATTATCATTCTTACTTGTTTAAATAGCACTTTTTTAAAAAAATCATTTCTCATTAGGTTTAGATTATGCGGCACATTCTCCGTACAAATCCCTGTGAATGAACTGTTACTATGGAAACAATAACGTATTTGGGCGTAAAGTTGCGAGTTTACTAGCTGCGGTCGTTAGCAGGAGATCGTTAGTCTCCTTCTGACCAATCAGAATCTAGAATTCAACAGCAGTTGGTTATAAATATTGGCCTATCTCTCACAATATTGATGTTTGCAAAACAACAGTGCTGTATTTATTAAACGATCTTGGATACTTTATTTAACGTATTTACTGAGAACAAAATCAGATATTAATATCCAATCAGCTACTTCTTACTGTGAGCAGCTAAGAAGCTGCAAAGTGTACGGTCAAGTAATTTATCACTTGTATAAGTAATACATCCATATCACACAATCATGTGATCTGAATCGAAATTTGATTCAAATTTGAACTCTTTCCTAATTAAAGAAGAAACAAAAACAGAAAAACAGTTCAAGGCCTACATCTGCCACCCAGACTTCTACTTTCCTACAATTTTCCTGGCTTTCTGTTCTACAGAAGGTCTAACAAAGGAGCTCGAAATAACCAGCGGGAATCTGAGCGGATATCTGGAGAGCGGTTACTCTGCGTAGTGCCGAGCCGAGGTTTCATTCGTGCTTCTGAAGCCAGGGTCAGTTAATGATTACTGAACTTTCTCAAACACAATCCTGCAGTAGTGTTTCATCCATGACCCTGTGACTGGTTACCATGCGCCAATCGAACGTAGGTATGAGTGTCGGCCAACTTAGCCTTTGATTTCTATGTTTGTGGACATTTTTATTGTTATCCAAGTGTGAACTGCTGTACAAGTGGCGGCAAAAATGTCCTTGATAAATGATAACATTTATGTTAAAAAAAAAAATAAATAAAAATAATAATAATAATAATATATATATATATATATATATATATATATATATATATATATATATATATATATATATATATAAATAAAAAAGATTTACATGCATTAATATAAACGTACAAAGTAAATATTTAAAAAAATTTTTTTATAAATATAAAAAAAGTAATAAGAAAGAAAAATGAAAAAAGAAATCATAACAAAAGCATTATTTTTATCCCTATAAGAGCAGAAAATGTAAGAATAGGATTATTTTATCATAGTATTATTTCGATTATAAAAGAAGCTTGGAGAAGATTATAGAAGAGAAAGTTTAAGGACAGAAATATTTCATTTACACGCATTTATTTTACAAAAGTAGTATTAAAAATTATAAAATAAACGAAAACATATTTTTCCGTTAAGCACAGAGTAAATTTAAGAAAAGGATTATTTTATCATAGTATTCATAGAGTCAATGTAATACTCCATGATGACACACACATTATTGTGTGTGTGTGTGTGTGTGTGTGTGTGTGTGTGTGTGTGTGTGTGTGTGTGTGTGTGTGTGTAAATCAAGTTAATTATGCTGGTTGATATGGTGCTGGTTCATAAACTGAATGAAAAGTGCCTGAGGCTGAGAGGAAGCTGCTGAGTAACCCGGCCATTCTCAGGCTGAGGAGCGAGTAAGTGTCGAACTGGGATTTATTTTCCTTGACAATTACAATGATTTAGTGTTCTGTCGAAGAAGAAGCAGACACCGCCATTGATTAGGGATTATCAGAGGGCTCATAAATACGAGCGCTGATGGAGCTCGTAAATGTGAATGTTAGCGGTGCAGGTGTTCGCAAACAAACCGCCTTTGTGTACTTTGCCACAGGTGGCCCTCTGTAAGGGCGAAGACGGGAAGGTTTTTACAGCGGGAACGCACCACGGTGAATAGGAAACTAATCAGTTTCCATTATCTTCTCGCCACATTTCTTCTCTCAGCCTCCTTTTTTCGATCGCGCTGTCTGAATGGTGATTGGAGTAAGGCCGTCTGCAGCACATACAGCAGCACGCCGCTCGTGCTCAGGGATCATCCTATGTAAAAGAGAGTGTGTGTGTGTGTGTGTGTGTGTGTGGAGAGCTGAGTAAGTCTCTCCAATTCTATTTAACATTCCGAGTCTGTCAGAACGGTCTCTCTCCTCACCTAGTCATAACATGGCAGACCCCTTCGCTCCATTAGGAGCCGACACACACAAGGCCTTCAGTGTTGAGTGTCACTCTGCTCAAAACTCAACACCTCACACTCACAATCGCCTCAGCACTCATCAGCCGAAGAGGGTCTTACTTTAAAGGTGGAGGGAAGGGCAGAGCAGAGGAGAGGAGAGGAGAGACGAAACATGAAGAGACGACTAGAGGAGAGATTAGAAGATAACTAGAGGAGAGACCAGATGAGAAGAGAAGAGATCAGAAGAGAAGGCAAGAGAAAGTTAGAAACCAGAAAAGAAGAGTGGAGAAGAGGAGAAAAGAGAATAGACGAGAAGAGAAAAGTAGAGACAAGAACGGAAGAGAGAAGACGGGAAGAAACAATTAAACTCGAGAAGAGAAGAGAAGAGAAGAGAAGAGAAGAGAAGAGAAGAGAAGAGACAAAAACAGACAAGAAGAGAAGAGAGAAGAATAAAAGATAACAGACAAAAAGATATGAGGAGATGAGACGAGAAGAAAAAAGAAGAGATGAGAAGAAAAGAAAAGAGAAGAGAAAAAGAGCAGAGACAAGGAGAAGAGAAGAGACAAGATGAGAAGAAGAGATGAGAGAAGAGGCACGACAAGACGAGAAGATTTGAGCAAAGAATATTCCAAAAGATGTGAGAAGATTTCGAAAAGATGGTAGAAGAAAAGGAGTAGACGATTAAAGAAATTTTAGAACATTCTGCAAGAGAGAATTTGAGTAAAGAAGATTTGAGAGGATAGCAGAAGAAAAGAGGGGAGAACATTCGAGAAGCCTGAACACCCCAATGTGTGTCTACAAAAACCTGCACAGCTGCAGTTGGACACAGAGCACCGAGAAACAGGGAGGGGAAAAGACCAAAACGAACGGCCTCAGGGATGAGAAGACAGCAGGTGCGATCATGAGGAACAGGCTGACAGGATGCTGCCCTTTCTGCTGCCCTGTTTATCACCACGGAAACAGCAGTGCATTGTGGGAGAGGCAGTAACTCTGGCTTTTTCACTTCCTCCTTTTCTTCACACTTGAAGAAACAGCTAACGTTTCACAGCCTCTGTACTGGACCATGAGTTCTATCACTGTCACACACACTAGAAAACATGAGTGTGTGTATGTATGTATGTGTATGTGTGTGTGTGTGTGTGTGTGTGTGTGTGTGTGTGTGTGTGTTGTACATACCTCTATCCGAGATCCTCAGGCCCTGGTGCTTAAGCATTAAGCCTGTGGCTAAAGCATGTCCTGGCTTCTTTATAAATAAAACGATAAATAATGTTACTTATGATAATAAAAAAATAAAAAATAAAATATAAAAAAAAACCCACCAAAAAAGCATTAAAATATGTTTATCTATGCCAAAGTACCCGTACACTCGTTCTCAAACCCACCCTTAAAAAAAAATACTTACATTTCATAATTAACCATCGTTTTTAGTAAGTTCGTTACTGTAGTTCAAAATATATCCAAGGTGCAAATTATTTCTACAACTATCTTTATTATCGCAAAAAGTTTACACCAAGATACTGCGTCCGACGGTGCGATATATGTATACACCAAGAACGACGACAACAACAACAACAACAACAAAAGCAACAACCACCAATACTCTGTTTCTTTCTTTAACAATAGCTGCAGTGTAAAAGTCGTATCGGTTTCAAAAGCTGCGAAAAAAAACAAACATTAAATAAGGTAAACATGAAAAGGTCGTAGGTCTTGTGCGTTTGACTTCCACGACATGATATTTTTATCTTTAAAAAATGGAGTGGAGTGTGTTATTCCGCTTATA